TTGTGTTTCGTTTCCCCCGTTTTAGGTCTTTTCGGTCCGTCTAGTCTTTTCTTATGATTTTATCTTCGTTTTAGGTTGTATAGTTTTTCTGTTGCTTTTTCCTCCTATTTTCTATGTTTTTCGTGTTTTGTCCGGTGGTGCGATTTCAGGTTGTAGGTTGATCGGGATGGCGAATGTTCAAACATGATAAGAAGTGGATGATTTGAGCAGCATTTCTGTGGGCCAAAGCATGCGAGGATGGAATTCCCAGCTCGGGCAGTACCCGAGCGACGTAGCCGAGCAAGCTGTAGAGAAGAAGGCCAAACTTTTGGACAACGGGACCTTAGCGCCGCTAAGGCCCCTTTGGTTAGCGGCGCTTTGGACATTCCAGAGGGCAGAGCCGAACAGCTAACATGGGTTAGCGGCGCTAAGACCTTAGCGCCGCTAAGGACTGTTTTAAGGCCATCGCGGGTTTCGTGGAATTTGAAATGGGAAAGTCTATGAGATCGATTGGGGGCGTTATTTTGGTGATTCAGACCTCGTTTTTCTTAATCTTTTCACCCTAGAACACATTTTTCTTCTTATTTTTCATCTTGGATTTGATCTTGGAGCATAAAAACTCCAATTTTCGCTCGGATTTCGGTTGTTCGTTGCTTTCTATCGACATTGGATTTGTTATTAATCGTAAGCATCTCTTTTCATTTTGATTATAAATATGATGTTTGGTTTGATTATGGATGTTGGTGTTAAGATTGCAATGAGTAGCTAATTCCAATAGCTAAGGTTAGGGGATAATCGTTCCGGTTCGATTTCCTTTATGTGTTGATTAATTGCTCTATCTTTTCGAGTTGTGCTTAACCTAGGTTTAGATGTTTGATCACCATCTCAATCTAATTAATCGATTTTGAAACCGAAAGGGGAGAAATCGTTCGACCTAGGCTCGTTAAGAATAGACTTGTTCGGTGACGTATTGTCTATATGCTAATTGATTCATGATTGATTTGTTTACGTTTATTCTTTTGTTTCGTGAGATATTGAGATTGACCCTCTAGATGAGTTAATTCTTGAGTCTTTTGGTTGAGTAGTTGATTGATCGTAAATTGTTTTGAGAACCGGAAGCGATATCCCCGATACCCTAGCCCCTTTTATCATTATTTGAGTTGAAACTTTAAATTGCAAGTTTGAGATTGTTAGCTTGTTCTTATTATTCGTAGTTGATAATCAAAAACCCCAAATTTGAATTAGAATGTTTAGGACTTGTTTCTTATTTTCGTGTGTTGAATAACCGTGCAAAATAATCCGGATAACCTTCCTTGTGACACGACCCGGTGTCGAATCTTTGGGTTCTACTCCGGTTAAAAATATTTGCAACATCCGCATATTAAGAGCTGTCCGCATTTTAAAAGTTTTCCTCATTTGATCCGTCGCCTATATATATAATTATTACTTCATCAATTTTACCTATGTGGAACTTTTCTAACACAAAAAACTATTACAATCCATTATTATTATTATTATTACTAATAATATTAATGTCATAGTAAAATTTCTTAAAATCATATAAGCAATTATTCCAATAAATTTAATAATTTCAGCTATTTAGTTGTTCACGATCCCTCAAAATTATAAAAATTATATTTTTTATCACATTTTATACCATCAATATAGTGATGCATATGCAATAAAATCATTAAGTACTATTTATTTTAACCAATGATCAAAATTTAACACATAATATCATTATTTAATTTATGATTATAGTATTATATGCATACAAATAATTTATATTATTTTATTTACGTATGTACAAATATATAAAATCGAATACTAGTAATTCGTAACAACTAACAAATAAAATTGCATCATATAATGTGAATCCATTTCAATCTCATTTTTTATTTTTTTTTTGGTACAGTGACTTTTCGATTTCCAAATTCACAGGGGAACCGACTAATCCGGAATCGAGCGGGTAGGACCACAAGGACGGCAAAGCTCTCCCTCAAGAGTTTTAACACTGCTGCATTCCCAGGGCTCGAACCCGAAACCACTAGTTAAGCTGGAAGAGACCCAAACCATCTAATCCAAGCGCTCTTGGGTAATCTCATTTTTTATTTTTATTTTTCATTTTCCATTTTAATTCCTTTTTCCTTTCTTTTCCAGGCTGGAATTTAGCGAGCCTTCTCTGATTTTCGTCACATTTTATATAGTGGCGGCAGCTCTGCAGTCTGCAGACGCACGCTTTTTGTCACACTCTCACACGGCTAGAGAGAGAGAGAGAGAGAGAGAGAGAGAGAGAGAGAGAGAGAGAGAGAGAGAAGCAAGTACTGTTCAGCTATGGCGACCGACGGAGAAGGATCCACTACCATGGCGAAGAAGAGCAAGAAGCTGTCCGTGGAAGATTATCTCGGTTTCATTGAAGACCGCACTCTCGACCTTACCGTCTCCCAGCTCGCTCAGGTTAAACCTCATCTCTTCACTTTCCCCCACACTCGAGCACACACTACTGCTGTAATTCCGTCGTCTTTAGAGCTATTTTCTGCATCATTTGCCCGCTTGTGTAATTTCTTCATCCAACCAGCAACTCTGTTCGCTTCGTAATTAAGATCTTCGATTTTTTTCGTTGTGTGCTTCGTTCCGTTGAGAACAGTGGTTTTGTGAATGCTTTGAAATTCCAGTGCTGAATCCTTCGTCTTATTTTTTTTTTTCTTCTTTTTGTTTTGCTCTGTCGCAGATCGTCTCGATTCACGGCTTCAAAAAGAGGAAATTCCCGAAGGCGAATTCACGTTCAACTTCGTTATTCATGCTCTGTCTCTCCAGTTTTATTGCTCATTTGTTGGTATCATTGACTGCTTCTCATAGGAATCTGTTTAATTTCAGGGTGTACTGGTCGATATGATATCGACGATGGATCTGATGGATCTCCGCCGCTCGACGTTGCTGGACGGCGGCGTGTCAGGGGACACAAGCTTAACGCTGAAGGAGGCGATCAAGGACCTCAACGACCTGAACTGGCAGGAGTGCCACGTAACCTCTATGCTGACCGTGCCTGAATCCGCCGGCGCCTTGGTTATACGGAAAAGTGACAAGGGGTTGAAGAAGAAGCCGACTAAGAAGCGAGGTGGAGACTCTGTTATTTCGGGTGGTACAACTACTGCTGCAGAGAGTACCACTGAGGGTTTGGTGAATCCAGGGAGTCATCGCAAAAGAGCCAAGGGAAAGAAAGCCATTAAGACCAGATCCATTGAGGCAGTTACTTTGGAAGGTGCAATTGTTGCTGCAGAGAGTACTACGGAGGATTTGGTGTATCCAGGGAGTCCCTTGGCCGTAGGGCAACCTACTTCCCCACCGCGCATCTTGTGGATGAGTACCGCGAGCGCCACTGTTCGGGAAACGTAGAAAGGAATTCGGAATTTATGTCGTTTTAGATACTTTGTAATCTGGCTGAAGATCATAAAATCGTAACAGTGGGTAGCTTTAGTCTAATAGACTTCTTTTGCGTAATATGAAGGTATTATGAGGATAAAACTGCAATTATATCTAGGTGTTTTTTCAATTGCCTCCCAATGTTTGCTTGATTAGTTCGTCATTTATTGTGAAAGCATTGTTATAGGATTCAATAGGTGCACCAACTGTCCATCGTATCATCCACAAGTATACTTAGAACCATTTGTTAGGCACGAGTGTATTAGGTCATTTATTTTTACCTGCGACTGCATCATCTTCGACTTATTCTGAGGAGATCGCCCCATAGCTGTTCTTGTTTCGCTGGTGTGTGTTGTTACTTATGCATTCTTGTTGCTGCAATCATGATCATATCTCGCTATTTCGTCTGTCGCTGAGAATTCTCGGTCCGGGGTTGCTGCCCGCTTGCTGCTTCTTATCGTCCCAAACTTGGGACTTCTTCCTTTCTCATTCTCTTTTCAGCTTGGGTTTGTTGCTTACCCAACTGGAGTCCCATCGAGGGGCGTCTCTCGCAGCCGCACTTCACCGGGACTATTACAACTCGAGGATACCTTCTTCTTCTCTTCTTTTGAAGTCATAACCTGCCTGAATCATGCTCGCGAAACCTTGCGAGCTACATCTGAGCCATATCTACAGCCATATCACGTTGGTGTCGGAGAACTCTGCGTTGTACGACACGACGTCTCCTCTGAGGTTCAAAAATCATCGGCATGCTCCTTTTTCCATTTAAACCTGTGGCGACTTCTTCCGAAAACCGTCTCGGCTTCTTCCTTACGCTACAATCCGTAGTTTCCTCTTTCTTTCTTACACCAGCTCCGCAACCGCGAGCTTGCTCGTTGTCTTGTCTCCTTGTTTTTTTGGTTTTTTATTTTTATTATTTTTGTTTTTGTTTTTGTTTTTATTTCCAGCATGTTGGTTTGACGGGCTGCTGACTGATTTGTCCACAGCTGAATGGCCTGCGCTATTAATCGTGCCATGCCCTACAATTCCTTATCTCGCAGTGGCAGCCATGGAAACAGGTCACCGAAAACCTGACAGCACTAGCGAAATCGAATTGGGCATTTTTCTTCAATGGTGCGTTTATTGATTTTCTTAGGGTTTTCCTTAATCTTTTTTTGTAAATTTCACATCGGTGTTCAGGTAATATCTGTACATGCGAGTCATTTAGTGATATGGCATTGTTGTTTTGTTTTCTGATGGTTTACTGGTTTGCTACTTGAAGTGGTTGGTCTGAGTGTTGCGACTCTTATCGAGCTTTTGCTTCTTTTGTCAAAGTGAGTTTTGGGTGCTTTTCTTTCGTTTCCTGTTTTTGTCCTCCTTAATTTGGGTTCTTCTTGTTCATTTTGTCAAGTATGAATCATAATTTATATAGTTTATGAGTTGCATAAATTATATGTATTTCATTGTATAAATCAATTCTAACTGTATCTTTTGATGCAATCTATGAATTCTTCGGAGCACGACATCTCTTCGGATGTTTTCTTTAGTGATAGTTCCATAACTGCACACTGCAGAGACCAATGGAGATGGAAAACTCATATATGACCAGCATCAAAGCAAACAAGGTCTTCATTATTTCCAATTTGTAGTCAGGATACTGGCATTAAGTTATTTAATTTTATATTCTGCATGGTTCTGTTCCTATCTGTTCATATATGAATTGAACTTAAATTTTTGTTAAAAATATAAGCTTTAATGTTAAAAATTGAAAGTAATTACAGGTTCAGCCTTGTTTAACATGCACAAGGATGATTAAATTTTTTGTTAAAATTTTGCTATCATTTGGAGTTTGTAAATTCTACCTTTTATCTACTACACATGATTTTCCAAGGTATGTGCCTAATAAAAGCATTTCATGGTCTTCTTTTGCAACTCTAATAACTGGTTGTAATTCTCTTGTTTTTCCGCATGTATTTTTGATAACTAATATAAATGTGCATTTAACGGTTACAAATTTCAACGGAATGATTCCGTAACGAGACTGTAGTCTTATCCTTGTATTTTTGGATTTTTAGTTTTAAGTATGCTAGCCAATAGCCTGAGTGATTCGATTACCATGGAGTTGTCCCTTCGTTCTAGATGTCGGGATTTGCGTCACCTTTGGCAAAATTCGGCATGTCCCTTGAGATGAGTTAGTACGTACCTATGCGATGCACGAGACATAGATATTACATAGTCATTTTCATAGGTTCTGTCCGTTTAAGTCTAAAATAAATAGGGTTATCATCTATTTTTAACATCTTTTAACTTTTCATCAACGTAAGAAAAAACAACATGGTTACAATCTATTTTTCACCCCTTTCAGAACATTAATAATGAACATGTTATTTTAGACAGAACATTAAATATGAGTATGTTAGGGCTGATTTGTGAAATAATTATTATATTATCTTACGAACACATTTATCTAACATAAATTTAATTTTAGTATATATATTTATTCTTTGATATAAGAGAAAACACACCATATAATACTTAATTATTATTTTATTATAGACTTTGTTACCATATATGTCATTATTATTTATATAATCTTTAGAAGTTGTACGTATTCTTTTTTTTTTTTTTTTACGTAATGAAAAATATTTATTACACATTAGTATTATTTATTTATGTAATCAGTTTAAAATATAAAAATAAATTTAAAATTAAATAGTGTATAAATGTTTTACAAAATATAAACACATGTTTTTTTGGAATTTAATTTTGTAGACTAATTAAGCAACTTTTATTTAGCAAATGCCAAAAACTCAATCCCTCCTATAATCAAGATTTTTCTAATTTGCATTATAAGGATATATAGTTTATTTAACATACTCTAGAATGAAAATATATTTTACAAGAATTTCAATATAGAAAGAAATCAAAATAAAAAATGATAAAAAAAATAATGGTTGTCAATAATATACAAATAAATCCTAGAACAGTTAATATATTTCAATTTTTAACTATTAGCAAAACTATTTAATATAACTGGTCATTATCTCTTAAATTATATTAATTTGAAAAATAATTTATTTATTTATATATAACAAAATAAAGCATAAGAAAAAATTATTTTGGCAACGACTAATTCACCAACTTGATTTTGCCTGATTAATTGAAAAAAAAATTCTGCCTAATCTGTTACGATTTTCTATAAATATTTTTAGATAAAAAAATCTTTGTGAAAAATTGAGATATATTAAAAATTATTAAAATTGCAATTAAGCCCCTTGGATATATCAAATTCTCAAATGGAAGCCCCAACGTACAAACACTCCTTCACCATCACAGGCATCTCTGACCGGCGACTGTCTGCCGCCTACTCCTTCCCGACGACCGGTTATACCACCGGAGAACAACCACGAGACATACATATCCTTGGGAACTCAAAACCGAATTTCACGGCGGATTAAGAGGGTTGCCGGAAATGAGACTGCCACTTCCGACGAGGTTCTCGAATTCAGCGGCGTTTCTCGATTTTACGACGGCGACTGTGCATGGTCGGGAGGAGCTAGAGTCGCCGGATATGACTTAGTTGAAGCATGTGTCGGATGCTGTGACCGGCGGCGGCGGAGGTAAATTGATGAGGTCTGTTTGACTACTTATGGAGACAGGGCCGGTCGGAGCTGTGGCTGCGGCGGTTTGGTGGCGAAGGGTCGGGGCCTGCGGCTGCAATGGAGATGGTGGTGACTGTGTGGTGTCGGTCGGGAGGAGCTACAATCGACTGTCATGCCTTAGTTGAAGCAGGTACTAGATGTTGTGACCGGAGGTGGCGATGGAGTCGGTCGGAGCTATGGCTGCGGCGGTTTGGCGGCGGAAGGTCGGGGTCGCCGGCTTCAATGGAGATAGCTGGAATATGTGAACGTTGGCAGGGGCCGCATGGCTATAGAGAAGAGAGAGGAGAGAGAATAGAGAGAAGAGAGGAGAGAGGAGAGAGGAGAGGGTTAGGATTTATGTGGGACAGAAATTACATATCTGCCCTCCAAGCTATTTATTTGTCTATGAAATGACAATGTAAATACAATTTTGCCATTCAGGTTTTATCATTATAATTTAATTTTATAATTTAATTTTGAATTTATAATGACCATTGATGTAATTGATCCAATAGTTCATGAACATTCTTATTTCTGTCACAATCTACCATTGATATGATCCTTTTCTATATTGTGGGGTTCTTCACTTGCGCCCGATTGTTCTCGGGTGTCTTCTCGCCATTGTCGGTTAAATCGCTCGCCACCGCAGGTTTTGAACTGTTAATTCGATTAATTTTTATTTTTTTTCTATTATCCGTCAGTTTTTAATAATCGTCCGCCCTCTTATTGCAGGTTACCTACGTGCTCGGTCTCTTCTCTCCTTCCCCTGCCAAAAACTCGACGGGTAAGTTTTAGTTTTTGTTTTTGTTTTTTAGGTTTCGATTTTTGTTCCTGTTATTGTGATAAGCATGGGTTTTCTTCATTGTTGTGAATTATGGTGTTCGGTTGTGTTATTGCGAATTCATTTCAAGCAAATG